TAGGGTTAGGTTAGTTTTAATAAAGTTTTGGGTTTGGTTGCATTGAGAGTCTGAAGTCTACTTGGGTTGTTTGGTGGCTTAGCTTTTTACTACACATACACACAACATTGTAAAAGCAGATTGTGTGACCTGAGTCGTCTCCTTAAGCCAAATAAAGTAGCTAGGATGGTCAGTTAGTTGCTGGCTCTCAGATTAGGGCAGTTTAGGATTGAAGGTGTTGTTGTATACCCTCTATAGAGAAAATGGCAAATCTGCAAGGCAAATAACCTCCATTGCCCACTTCAGCAAACTGACAATTAGGGAGAGGAGAGTTACACACAACACACACACACACACACCATCACTACCACCATCAGTGTGTTGACTCATGGTTGAAGAAAACCTGCATTTGTGGTTTGAAACAGAAGGCTGTTTTGAGGCAGGACAAGAATGTTGTTGTGTGTTTCCTTTGCGCCCCCCCCCAAGGTTTAAAAACCCCTGAGGCAGAAACATTGGCAGTGTCTAAAGGGGCTTTATTGTTATGCGGTGGGGCACTGTGCATACCCACACAAGTGTGTGTGTGTGTGTTTGTGTACATCTGGGGAGGACTCTGTGACCTCAAAAGCCGGGCGCTCGACAGTGGGAGAGCCTTGCGCTGCAGGGTTAACGTTGGCCTCGCTGGAGATGAATCACACCAAGGCTGTAGCCAAACGCCAAAGGTTCCCGGTGACGAGTGTGGTGGTTTTATAGCTCATGACTCATCCCGGCTTGTTGGCGCAGAGCGGGCCGTGTTATTCCAGTAGATTGCAAAATCATAACAGGAATGTCGTGGCGCGTCCACTGCTCAACTATGCAAATCCCCAGGAAGCCATTTGAGCCGGAGAGCGTGAAGCACGCCACACGGGGATGGCCGATCGATGAAGAGGCCTCGGGCACTGCAGGCAGAAGGGACACTGGTAGTGCTGAAGGCCCTGGGGAGAACAGGCCTGGGAGGTGAGCGAGTCCCATGAATAAACGAAAGGAGGAGGCGAACAAACATTTAGCTGGGAAAAAGATACAAATCCCTCCACCCTACTTATTTTACCACTGGAGGCAAGGGACACCTCTCCCCTGTCTTTTTCTGCCCCAGAAAAAGGGGATCCTAAAAAGGACTGGTTGACCCCCGTAATGGGGAGGTGGGTAGCTTCACGGGGTACGTGCGGGAAACTCTCCGGGATGCGCGGGAAAGAACCGCTTCCTCTCGTCCCTAATTCACCCGTTCTTTGAGCAAGAGCTAAACAGAAGGTGGTGGTGGGGGGGCTGTAAAGGCACACAGCCCCTCCCCGACTCTCTTGGCCAGCCAAGAGAGCTTGCTTGGAAGCGGTTGTGCTGTTTGTACGCTTAAAGTGTGTCGGACAGCCAAGCCAAGAACAGGTCTCAAGAAGGGGGAAACACACAGTGGAGGAGGAGGTGCAGCGAGCAGGAGCCAGCGCTGCTGGCCGCACGCTCCGCACACTGTTTACAGGAGCCCCTGTGCTCTGAGGGAGATAAGTTATCGCGCTGGGCTGGGGTTGCCTTGGTGATGGGGAGGGGGGAGTGCCTGCGGTGCCCTGGTGTGAGCTTGCACAATGGTGCCGGGAGGGGGGGGGAAGGAAATGCTGCTGGGATGCTGAAAATGCCCAGGGTGGGGTAGTGGAGCCGCGCCGAGCACGGGATGCCGCAAGAAATCAGAGCAAAGGTCAGGCGTTGTTTATAATTTATGCGCCGCAGCAGCAAAGAAGAGGCATGGTGCCAGCAGCTGCCAGCCATTCAAAGTTGGGGAGGAGGATTTTCAGTCCTGGGGGGGGAAAGGGGGGGCTGCAGCAGCAACAGAAGAACTGGGAGGCTTGGAATACGCAGGCAGATTTGCTTGCAACCTGCAGAATGATTGAGTCAGGGGGGGAAAAGCATAACGTGAGCCCAGAGCAGGAATGTGGGGGCCTTGCTGAGTTTGGGGTGGTGGGTCAAAGCTGGTTCTGCACCACGGTGGGCTGCCTCGGCTTGGAAAGGGTCCTGGAGGCCATCCAGCCCAACCCTTTGCTCGGGGCAGAAATGCTCATTGGAGCTGCTTATTGGAGCGTTCTCGGGTCTTTTCCGAGTGTGCAAATTGCCCTGTGTGGGTTTGGAGGAGGGCCATCTGTGGGATGCCTGACTCATTTAGGCAGAAGTTCACCAGGCTTGTGCTGGTCGAAGAGATGCGTCACGGTGGCTTAGGGACAGCCTGCCCAACCCAACACATGCAGAGACACACATACCCTCCCCGTTCTCAGGGATTGGAGAAACAGACAGCTGATCCTGGTTTGATTCTTCTTCTGATGACAGGGAAGTCCTCTACTTGTGACCACCACTGAGCGCCAAGTTTCTGTTGCTAAGCAAGTCCTTTGCTAAGTGAGTTTTGCCCCATTTTACCCAGAGTTGTTAAATAACCCCCTGCAGTTGTTAAAAGTTAGTAAAAGGGTTGTTTTACTGAATCCGGCGTCTCCGTTGAATTTGCTTGTCAGAAGGCTAGAGGAGCTCATACGACCCCAGAACATAGCAACCGTCATAAACACGAGTCGGTTGCCAAGCATCTGAATTTTGATCACGTGACCGCGGGAATTCTGCAACGGTTTCGTGTGAAAAACGGCCATAACTCGCTTTTTCCAGCGCCGTTGTAGCTTTGAACGGTCACTAAATGAGTTGTAAGTCGAAGGCTACCTGTAGAGAGTTGGAGAAGGACTAGGAAGAGCAGAGGAGAGATTCAGCTCCCGCCGTGGCAGCTCCCTGGCCTACCTCGCAGGGGTGTTATGGGGATAATATAGAAAGGATTGTTCCAGATTCCCAGGGAAAAAGGCTGGGTCTAAATGGAATTGATAGTGGCAACTTATCCTATACGGCAGTGTTTCCCAAATTTGACAATTTTAAGGCATGAGGACTTCAACTCCCAGAATTCCACAGCCAGCAACGCTGGCTGTGGAATTCTGGGAGTTGAAGTCCACATGCCTTAAAATTGTCAAGTTTGGGAAACACTGCTATACGGGCAGATGATAATTTGGACAGGTCCTTTGTCTGCACCGGTTGCCAAACGTAAGTTGAAATTAACACGCATGAACTTCTTATCCACTACACGGGTAGTAAGCCTGGATCTGCGTTTATTCTTCTTGATTGACTGGATGGCGATCCAGCTCTCTCCTGTTTTTTTTTTTTCTTCTTATAACAACAACTCTGCAAATTCAGTTGGGCCCAGAGAGGAGCTGGTCCAGCGTCTCCAGACAGCTGGCCTATGTGTCTTACGGTCCTCCAGCACGCTAACCACTCCACCATCCTGTCTCTCTGCCCAGCCCCTGGGAGAAGCTGATTTGTTCCATGCAAGGTGCATCGGTCCACGTTCCTTGTGCAAAACGTTGTTTTGGTTTGGAAGTGGATTCAGAAGCGATGCAAACAGGACTGGGGCTGGGAGTTGTCGGCCTGCTTTTTATTCGGCTACAGCTGCCTGTGAAAGTCAAAAAAGTCAAGATGGTGGTTGCAGCCGTGTAGCTGAAGCCTTGCCTGTTTTCTTATGGGTATCTTCTAGTTTCTTTGTAACACTGAGCACCCAGTTTAGTCATCTGGATGGAAAACGGGGCAGCACGTTACCCACAACCCACCTCACAGGGTAGTTTTATGGGAAAATAGGAGGATGAAGTATGTTCGCCGTCTTGAGTTACATTATAAAGTAATAAAGGCAGAATAAGGATGGATGGATGGATGGTAGATAGGGATTGACGGACAGATGGATGAATGTGGATGGATGGATGGATGATAGATAGGGATTGACGGAGAGACGGATGAATGTGGATGGAAATGGATGGATGGATGGGAAGAACATAAATGACATGGATGGATGGATGGAATAGATGACAAGAGAGATGGATGGATGGATGGATGGATGGATGGATGGATGGATGGATGGATAAATAAAATGAATGGCTAGATATGGAGGGATGGATAGAACATAGATGAAGAGGGATGGATGGATGGATGACTAGAACAGATGACAAGAAAGATGGATGGATGGATAAGATGAATAGATAAGTTGAATGTGGCTAGATATGGATGGATGGAGGGATGGGTAGAATAGATAGATAAAGAGGGATAGATGGATGACTAGAACAGAGATGACAAGAGAGATGGATGGATGGATAGATAAGATGAATGTGGCTAGATATGGAGGGATGGATAGAACATAGTTGAAGAGGGATGGATGGATGAATGAATAGATGGATGACTGGAACAGATAGATGATAAGAGAGATGGATAGATAAGATGAATAGATAAGATGAATGTGGCTAGATATGGATGGATAGAGGGATGGATAGAACATAGATGAAGAGAGATGAATGGATGGATGACTAGAACAGATAGATGACAAGAGGGATGGATGGATAAGATGAATGTGGCTAGATATAGATGGATGGAGGGATGAATAGAACATAGGTGAAGAGAGATGAATGGATGGATGGATGACTAGAACAGATAGATGACAAGAGAGATGGATGCATGGATGGATAGATAAGATGAATGGCTAGATATGGATGGATGGATAGATCAGATATATGACAAGAGATGGATGGAAGGTTGGGTGGATGGATGGGATGGAAAAGTGAATGAGATAGACAGAAGATGTTAGATAAAGATAAATACATAGATAAATAGATGACTGAGCAGGGTGACAGCAATTTGGTCACTTTCTCATGGATTCTTCATTCAAGCTTTTTTCTCTGCTGGGCTGTTTTGCAACACACGAGGAGGCTGAAACTGTGTGTGTTTGCAAGTATGTGTGTATCCTCACGTGCTTTGGAGCAGGTGTCACCACAGAACCAGGCAGCATTTAATTTCTTTCTGAAAAACCTTGTTAAAAAGAGGACAGTCAGAAATCACTGGGTGGGAACAGGAGAGAGGAGAACGTATAGAGAAGTTTGAAAGTGAGAATTGGGATCTTTTAGTCTTCATCCAGATGTTCCATTTCCCTATTTTTGTCACAGCAACAGCAGCAGCAGCAACAGCAGCAGCAACAGATGCCCCGGAATAACCAAGAAGAAAAAGATGAAAAAGAGAAAGATGCAGAGAAGGAGGAAGAGAAGCTAGAATCTGAAAACGACAAAGAAGAACTGACAAAGTAAGTCTCGGAGGAGGGCGCGTGCTTTCCAAGAAAAGAGGCTAGCATCGCATCTGTTTCTCCTCTTGATTTTTGTGACTCATTGAGTGATGCTTTTCGAGGGGGGGGGTGCGAAGGAGTTTATATTTTTATTAAAGTGTGTAAGAAGATCAAATGCAAATGGAAACAAAAGTCAGGAAAGAGAAAGAAAAACAAACGGGGCGGGGGAAGTTTTCTCTTCTGCAAAGTTTGCTCAAGCATCCAACTCTGGCCTTTCCTTTCTGTCTTTCTGCAACCGATAATACAATTGGTTTCAGGCCATTGGGGGCGAGGGGAGGAGACAGATCTGCTAAATAAATCCATAAAATGTTACATTGGCTGCCTCTGTCCCTCGTTCTCCTTCCTGGCCAACTTGAAAGAGGACATAGGTGAATTTGTTCCCCCTTAAACTCAAGGGATGGGTTGAAACAATTCTTATATATACCATGAATTGGCCTGGCTGCAGTGTTAATGCTGGGGTTCTCCTGCCTGGAAAGTGTATTTTTTTCCCCCAACTTTTGTCCATGTTTTATACTTCATTTTTAGTAAACAACACAGAGCAGAGAAGGGCTAGCTTTGTGGATCCTCTCACCCCCAAATCTGGCAAAATTAGGCTTGAATTTGGCTTCCTGCAAGGATGGAATTGATCAGCCACCTTCCCCAGCTTACAGCTTTGCCAAGGATGGAGATTAAACACTTGACCATGAGCCAGCCGTGTGCGACAGCAGCCAAAGAAGCTAATACAATCCTTGGTTGTGTAAACAGAGGCATAGAATCCAAATCGCGCAGAGTATTAGTACTGCTTTATAAAGCCTTAGTAAAACCACACCTGGAATACTGCATCCAGTTTTGATCACCACCTTACAAAAAAGATGGTGAGACTTTTAAAAAAAAAAGTGCAGAGAAGAGCAACTAAGATGATTAAAAACATATGAAGAATGATGCAGGATTTGGGTATGGCCGGTCTAGAGAAAATAAGGACTGGAGGGGACATGATAGCAGTATTCCAGCATTTGAGAGGCTCCCACAAAGAAGAGTGGGAGGGGGTGGTGGTCAATTTATTTTCCAAAGCACCAGAAGGCAAGACAAGAAACAGTGGATGGAGACTATTCAATAAAGGAGAAACTTCCTTAACAGTGAGAACAATGAACCATCTTGCTGGAACAGCTTGCCTCCAGAAGTTGTGGGTGCTGCATCATTGGAGGTTTGAAGAAAAGATTGGACAACTCCTTGTCTGAAATGGTATAGGGCAGGGGTCTTCAAACTTGGCCCTTTGATGACTTGTGGACTTGCAACTCCCAGAGTTCCTCAGCCAGCGTGCCATGCTGAGGAATTCTGGGGGTTGAAGTCCACAAGTCATCAAAGGGCCAGGTTTGAAGACCCCTGGTATAAGGTCTCCTGCTTGAGCAGGGGGCTGCACTAGAAGACCTCCAAGGTCCCTTCCAGCTGTGTTCTGATTCTGATTTTTGTTCCCAGAGTGGTCAGTTACAATCCAATGGGCTGGGGGAATTCTGGGAAAGGAAATCAGATCTGGAAATGGAGGAAGACCGTCCTAGGGCACAACCTTGATGGACTTTCCCCATTCAGAGGCACGACTCGATGAATGTCTGAGTTTGAGGCTTCAGACAACATTGCTTAAGGAAGCCTTTAGGGCGGGGGGCAGCACCCGAGGAAACAAATTTAATTGAAGCTGCTTGGGACAGCTTTAAGCAGGCCATGTTGGCATCTGGCTGCATATTCAGTGGAGACCCGTTGGGTTCTGCCAGTGGTCTGAGTTTGAGTCTGTCAAAGGGACACGGCTGCTAAACCTCGGTGCAGATTTGATCCAGGACACCTCGTGTGTGGTTGCAACAGTGATCTCAAGGTCTTCCTTAAACATGCCGAAGGAAATATGAACACCCTTCCTGCTTCTAACCAGAATAGCAAAATGCTTGTTTTGCCATTGAAGGTTGCGAAAAAAATGACTTGAAAAACGCCGTGCCTTTGAGTTAATCAGGAGGGTTTTTAGACTTTGATGGAAGAGTTGACTGTCTTTCTCTAACCGAGATTAAGCCTTGGCTGGAAGGAGGATTGGGCTGGGTGGCATTGGTGTTCATCTGGGAAACGGCCAGCTTGGATGGAAGGCGGAGAGAAGCGAGGACACAGCTTGGAGTCCTTGCACAGCCACAAGAGGCGTAAGCTGGACTTCCAAGGTCAACAAAGCCTTATCTGGTCATTCCTGGTGGAAGATAGCAGTCTGGGCAGATTCCTGTAACATAGGCAGAAATCAATAAAGTTGCTTAGTTTAGCTATTTGCAACAGTGCACCTGACACCCTCAGCCAGTTCTCTCCTCCTTCCACTTTTTGAAAACTAGAAAAAGCAAAACCTATGCAAATGGGCTCTTCCCAAAGGAGGAGGCAACTGGACTTTCTTGTTTGTCTTTGAAGACGTTTCGCTTCTCAGCCATGAAGCTTCTTCAGCTCTGACTAGATGGTGGAGAGTGGAAGGATTTATACTCCTGGCAGACAGCTGGTCATTTGCCTTCTTTTGGGGAGTCGTTGAGGCCACTTGGAGGTTTATCTGTGTCCTCAGGGTCACCTGAGTGGTGCAAATGAGTGTGGAGCCGTCTTGGCTGCAGGATGTTTTCTGGCCCAAAGGCTCCACACACATTTGCACTATTCAGGTGATCCCAAGGACACAGAAAACTTCCAAGTGGCCTCAATGACTCCCCAAAAGAAGGCAAATGACCAGCTCTCTGTAAGGAGTATAAGTCCTTCCCTTCCCCACCATCCAGTCAAAGCTGAAGATGCTTCTTGGATGAGAAGCAAAACGTCTTCAAAGAAAAACAAGAAAGTCCAGTTGCCTCCTGAAAAAGCACCTTTGGGACAACCACGACCTGGATTGACTTGAGAAGCTCCGTAGGCAGCTTGGCTGCTGGGATGTTCCCACCTTTCTCTGCTGGGTCTCTCTGCCGACAACCCAACCTAATCCTCTCTCTTTTGTTCCGGTTCCATCAGGGAGAAGAACGAGGAGACGTCGGGTGAGGACAATGACGAGAAGGAAGCCGTTGCCTCCAAAGGGCGCAAGACGGCCAATAGCCAGGGCTGGCGGAAAGGGCGCATCACTCGCTCCATGGCCAACGAGGCCAACCACGAGGAGGTGGCGGTGCCCCAGCAGAATTCTGAGCTAGGTGGGTCTCCGTAGCCCGGATGACTGGATTCAGGGATCGAGAAGGGATTCCCGCTGGTGAAGGGAGGTGGGGACCTCCTCGGAGCAAGGGCCGAAAGAACGAGACGTGTGTATAGGGGGTGAATTTGCTAACTTGGTAATTTCCAAAGCAGCAGACGGCAAGACAAGAAACAACGGTGGGAAACTGATGGAGAGAAGCAACCTGGAATTAAGGAGAAGCTTCCTAAAAAGGGAGGACAATGAACCAGTGGAACAGCTTGCCACCAGAAGTTGTGGGTGTTCCATCAGTGGAGGCTTTTAGGAAGAGACTGCACAGCCACCTGTCTGAAATGGCTTGAGCAGGGGGCTGGACTAGAAGACCTCCAAGGTTCCTTCCAGCCCTCCTCCTCCTCTTCCTCCAACACTGGAAGTTTTTAAGAAGAGACTGGGCAGCCATTTGTCTGAAATGGTATAAGATTTCTTGCCTGAGCAGGGGGTTGGACTAGAAGACCTCCAAGGTCCCTTCCAAGTTTTTAATTATTATTATTATTACTATTATTTATTTATTTATGAGACTTATATACTGCTTTAAGTGCAAGCACTCTCTAAGCGGTGTACACCAGTAAGCAATGTATATATATATTTACATTGCCCCCAACAATCTGGGTCCTATTACTATTATTATTACCACTACTACTAGTAGTATTACTATGACTATTATTTTAATTAAACGTAAACCAAAGCATTGCTCTCACAAGTACGCAAGTGAGAATAAAATAAACTTAAATTCTTTTTGGGTTTGGACAGTCGACAGACAATTTAGGTAGGGAAGCCAGAAATGGCGCTGTTTTTCCAGAACAACCTGGAAGGGCGTGTGGAGAGACTTCTTCCAAAACACGGGCGGAGCCGGACTGAAGAAGTAGGACAGGAGATGACAAATTTTGGATTATACATTCTCTGGAAAGCCACTTCCTTCTCTGCCGACTGACGGGCAGCTTTCCTTGTAGATGGGGGGGAAAATTGCCTCTCTCGGCCACTTGTGGGCTGTGGAGAACTGAGAAATCTTAGTTTGGAAATTGGATCTGGGCTTAACTAGGCTTAGCTTGAATGGGAAGAACTGGTAGATGATTCAAGGCTGGGCTTCAGAGGATGAGCGGAGTTTAGCCCTCCGGGCAGAGTTTGTTTGGCTTTTTGTGGTTCGATTCTAGTTGTCTCCTTTTAAGTCTTCTTCTACTACCGAAGAGAACGAAAATCAGAATCTTAAAACAGATGATTAACAGCAGCAGCTTTTCATCTTTTTATTTTTTTGTTTTGTTTCATTCCTGCTTTTATTATGTTTATAAATAAGTCAAGGTGGAGAACGTACAGCATACTCCTTCCGCCTCCTGTTTTCCTTACAACCACAACCCTGTGAGGTGGGTTGGGCTGAGAGGGAGGGACTGGCCCAGAGCCACCCAGCTGGCTTATATGGCTAAGGCGGGACTAGAACTCACCGTCTCCTGGTGATTGGTCTAAAGTCACCCAGCTGGCTTTTGTGCCTAAGACGGGACTAGCACTCAACGTCTCCTCTCTCTTGATTGGCCCAAAGTCACCCAGCTGGTGTTCCTGGCTAAGGCGGGACTAGAACTCACCATCTCCTCGTGATTGGCTCAAAGTCACCCAGCTGGCTTTTATGCCTAAGACGGGACTAGAACTCACAGCCTCCTCATGATTGGCCCAAAGTCACCCAGTTGGTGTTCCTGGCTAAGGTGGGACTAGAACTCACCATCTCCTGGTGATTGTCCCAAAGTCACCCAGCTGGTTTTCAAGTCTAAGCAGGAACTAGAACTCACCGTCTCCTGGTGATTGGCCCAAAGTCACCCAGCTGGTTTTCAAGTCTAAGCAGGAACTAGAATTCACCGTCTCCTGGTGATTGGCCCAAAGTCACCCAGCTGGTTTTCAAGTCTAAGCAGGAACTAGAACTCACCGTCTTCTGGCGATTGGCCCAAAGTCACCCAGCTGGTTTTCAAGTCTAAGCAGGAACTAGAACTCACGGTCTCCTGGTGATTGGCCCAAAGTCACCCAGCTGGTTTTCAAGTCTAAGCAGGAACTAGAACTCACGGTTTCCTGGTGATTGGCCCAAAGTCACCCAGCTGGTTTTCAAGTCTAAGCAGGAACTAGAACTCACCGTCTCCTGGTGATTGGCCCAAAGTCACCCAGCTGGTGTTCCTGGCTAAGGCAAGACTAGAATTCCCAGTTTCCTGGTTTCTAGGTCAGAACTTTAACCACTACACCAAACTGGCTTTTTTTTTGGGGGGACTGTCTCTTAAGATTTCCTGCTTAAGGTGGGACTAGAACTCACTGTCTCCTGGGGATTGGGCCAAAGTTAGCTAGCAGACTTTCGTGCCTAAGCTGAAGGAAGTCAGGTTTGATAGGAAGGTCATTGCAAATCGCATGTCGCTAAGTTTTACACACCCACCCACCCAAGAATGTTGGTTTTCTTCTTACTGTCTCTTCCTTTCTTCCCACCAGCTTCTCTGGAGATGAACGAAAGTTCTCGGTGGACGGAGGAGGAGATGGAAACAGCGAAGAAAGGTAAACTTTTTTGGCTTATTTTTCTTTGCAAGACGCCCGTTGCGAGTGGGCGTGCTCGACGCTCCAGGTGTCAGTTGTGTTGCTTGGTGGGGTAACCCCATCGCTGGTGCTTTGAGGGCCATCGCGAGATTGAAGGTGCTTTTCGCGGCAGATGGAAGCCTCCAGATTTTGGCTTGTAAGCGTTCGACAGCAAAGACCAAAGAGTGCATTTTGTTCTGCACAAATTCAGGAGTTGCTAAAACAGTGTAAAGGTTTGCCGTTGTGTGTGAGAAAATCTGCCCCAGCTTAGGAGATGTCTCATATTGTCTGTTGTGCGTTTGGAACAAAGAACTCGGAGGAAATAGTGCCCAGTGGTGACTGGGTGGGTGTTTGAACAGGATTCTTGGTGCTCTCTTGAACTTGATTGTTTTCTTGCAGACATTTAATTACCAAACTAGGTAACGTCATCAGTGCTAGTAAGGGAATAGGATTTGCTCCCTTTTTGTACACCAGTGGGGAGACACAAAAAGACCTAAACCCCTCCTCACCAGCAATCAGCACTCAGATGAGCAGAAATTAACACCAAGACTTAACACTATAGCAACCGTCAAGAAATAAACAATACCCCAATCAGGTCCCATCGTTCCCCACAGTGGAGGACTGGCTGCAAAAATGGATGGAACTAGCAGAGATGGCTAAATCGACTCTTTTGATTAACGGGAAAAAAAATACAAATACTTTTTATTTCCACGTGGAAACCGCTTCTGGACTTTGTGCTTGAGGTGGTAAAAAAAAAAAAGAAAGTTTGATTTCGGGCGTTACCAATTAGATGGATTTGTCGTTATCGAAATGGCTAGTTTATCCTATCACATACAAATAAAAAGTTGAGGTTTGATGTTAATGTTCTATTTTACTGCACCAAAAGAAGTCAGAAGTCAGTGCCCCTTTCCATCCCCCCCACTTGCTTTCTCCCACTCTTCTCCTCCCTTTCCCCTTCCCTATCTTTCCTACTGTTTACTTTTGTATTTTCTTTGTATCTTTTACCAGGGGTCCCCAACCTGTGGCCTGTTGGCCACTGGGCTGTGGGAATGGCTGGCGTGCCCGCACCCTCCTCACTTGCGCTAGTGCCTCTGCACAGGCGTTAGTGGTCCCGTTTGTGCATGCATGGGGGAACTAGTACTGCCGCCAGCCTCACGCAGGCACTAGCAGCCTGCTTGCCCAGGCGTGCGGGTGCTAGCATCACCACTGTGTGTGCGTACCATGTGTCATGGTTCGAACAGATGAAACACTTCAAAGAACTTCGTGGCATTGTTTACCTTAAAGAATCTTTACTCGGCATATACATAAGCAAGGCAAAATTTGGATTCCCCTCTCCTTAGCACATAGTATCATAACACAATTCCCTCCTCTAATTAACAGTCATAAATCACATTCTCCAATTAGTTTGAAATGCAGGCTTTCCCTCCTGTTCTCCAACCGCCATTCCTTATCTGTTATTTCAAAAGCCCTGAGTTCACACACTAGTACAATATTGTTATGTCTAACTAACTCCCATCACATTCCTCCTCCTCCCCCAGTATCATCTAATTCTAAGAGTAAAGCATAAGAAAGAAAAAGCCTGCATCTTCATATGTTGTCAAAGCAAGAATATCGGAAGCGTTGACATCAGGCACATTTCCCTGCTCCTCCCTTTCCCTCCGGGCTGCCAACCTGGAAAGATTGGGGAGCTCTGTCTTATACTATAAACTAATAAAATTCACATTATATATATATAAAAAGAAACTTATCAACTCAGACAAACAACCAAACAAGTAAACAACAGCTCTATTAAGGACCACCTAGAACAGGGATAGGCAACCTTGGCTCTTTTATGATTCATGGACTTCAACTCCCAGAATTCCTGAGCCAGCCGTGCTGAGGGGAAAGGGAGAGGTTTCCAAGCTGAGCCAGGTTGGCTGAGGAATTCTGGGAATTGAAGTCCACGAGTCATGAGAGGGCCATAGTTCCCTCATGCTGGCTCAGGAATTCTGGGAGTTGAAGTCCACGAGTCATGAAGGGGCCAAAGTTTCCCTCATGCTGGCTCAGGAATTATGGGAGTTGAAGTCCATGAGTCATGAAGGGGAGCATAGTTCCCCCATGCTGACTCAGGGATTCTGGGAGTTGAAGTCCACGAGTCATAAAGCGGCTTAGGCCTAGGCCAGAGTTAGTTACCCTTGGCTCTTTTATGACTCGTGCACTTCAACTCCCAGAATTCCTGAGCCAGCCGTGCTGAGGGGAAAGGGAGAGGTTTCCAAGCTGAGCCATGCTGGCTCAGGAATTCTGGGATTTGAAGTCCATGAGTCATGAAGGGGGCCATAGTTCCCCCATGCTGGCTCAGGAATTCTGGGAGTTGAAGTCCACAAGTCACAAAAGAGCCAAGGTTGCCTATCCCTGCCTGACCTAGAATATTCCCATCAACACAGACAGGGCAAACCATACATAAACAGACAGCAGATCCCCACCACTTTCTAGCGCTGATGATGTTGTCTAGTTGGGTCATGAAGTGTCTGCAAGAAAATCATCAAGATCAGAGACCACAAAGGACCCCACAGTTCAACCTCACTGAGCTGCCAATATTCACCTCTGTTTTTTATCTGAATAGGATTTCAGTTTAGCGCCCACATAGTGCTTTACGGTGGCTCAGTGTGACGCTGCAGATGGCACCGAGATGGCTTGGCTTGTGGCAGGTGGCATCGGTGTGTCGTTCCTTGCGAGATCTGGGCAGCCAGCAGGAGGTTGAAGGGAAGGAGGAGAGATTTTGTGCGAGGAGAGGAGAGGTTTTGTGCGATTGGGGGGGGGGGGAGACAAAAGAAGGACACACCCTACAATTAATGCCAAAGTGAGGAGAGACAAAACAGACCCAGTGCTTACTGACACTTTGATTGTGTAATAAACCCTCCGTCCCACAGGCTGCCCAAACATTCAGCAGAGACTGTAATTGTGGGCTGAGGTCTTGCATCTAGAGATCTTTTCTTTGCTTTTTTTTTTTTCCAAAGTAGCCTCCCAATGAGAGGAAGCCAAATCAATTCTTGGCCCAGAAGGAGGTTGAAGTTCCATGGAGAGTTCGCATAACCTGGCACGGATTTAAAGTGATCTTCCGTAATCTGGGCATTCTCCAACAGGAGGGGGAATGCACAGGGGTTGCTTAAAAGTCTGGGAGTTTGGCACCTGTCAGATCTGGATGAGGTCCAGATAGGAGGGTCTTGGGCATCCAGTTTTGATCACCGTGATGTAAAAAAGAGGTTGAGACTCTAGAAAGAGCACAGAGAAGAGCAACAAAGATGATTAGGGGATTGGAGGCTAAAGCATATAAGGAAAGGCTGCTGGAATTGGGCATGTCTAGTTTAATGAAGAGAAGGACGAGGGGGGACAGGATAGCAGTGTTCCAATACCTCAGGGGCTGCCCCAAAGAAGAGGGAGTCAAGCTATTCTCCAAAGCACCTGAAGGCAGGACAAGAAGCAACGGATGGAAACTAATCAAGGAGAGAAGCAACCTAGAACTAAGGAGAAACTTCCTGACAGTGAGAACAATTAACCAGTGGAGCAACCTGCCTCCAGAAGTTGTGGGTGCTCCATCACTGGAGGTTTTCAAGAAGAGATTGGACAGCCATTTGTCTGAAATGGGATGGAGGTCTCCTGCTTGAGTAGGGGGTTGGACTAGAAGTCCAGAAGGAACTAGAAGCTCCCTCCCATCTCTGTTCTCTCCCACCTTGCACCTACCTTGAATTTCAGTCCTTTTCAGGCTTCCATTGTTCTTTGTTTATGACCATCCCATTGGTAAATCCTTCTAACTGTCGCTAGAAGAGCATTTGCACCAGCAATGTGTAGTAGAAGTGACCACAGGCAATCCTTGACCTACAACAGTTCATTTAGTGACCGTTCAAAGTTACAACCGCCCTGAAAAAAAGTGACCTCGGACCATTTTTCACCCACTTACAACCGTCGTAGCATCTCCGTGATCACGTAATCATAATTCGGACGCTTGGCCACTGACTTGTACGTAAGACAGTTGCAGCGTCCCGGGGTCCTGGGTTCCCCTTTTGCAAAAGGGGAAGTCAGATTGACTTAAAAACTGTGTCACTCACATAACAACTGCAATGGTTCCCTTAATAGTGGTGGCAAGTTCGTACGATGGAGAGAAATCTCACTTCACGAATGTCTCGCTTAGCAACGTAAATGTGGGGCTTAATTGTGGTCGTAAGTCAGGGACCCAGCCATTCCAGACCCTGCCAACAAAAGTGCATATAGTCAAGGCTGTGGTTTTCCCAGTGGCAATGTATGGCTGTGAAAGTTGGACCCTAAGAAAGGCTGAGCGCCAAAGAATGGAGGCCTTTGAACTCTGGTGCTGGAGAAGACTCCCACAAGTCCCCTGGACTGCAAGGCGATCAGACCGGTCAGTCCTGGAGGAGATCAATCCTGACTGCTCTTTAGAAGGCCAGATCCTGAAGCTGAAACTCAAGTACTTTGGCCACCTAATGAGAAGGAAGGTCTCATTGGAGAAGAGCCTGATGCTGGGAAAGATGGAGGGCAAGAGAAGAATGGGATGACAGAGAATGAGGTGGCTGGACGGAGTCACTGAAGCAGGAGGCGTGAGCTTCAATGGACTCCAGAAGATGGTAGAGGACAGGAAGGCCTGGAGGAACGTTGTCCATGGGGTCGCGATGGGTCGGACACAACTTCACAACTAACAACAACAACAAAGTCAAGGACTGCCTCCAGCTGGCTGTTCTCCATCTTGCAGATCCAAGAATGACTTGGCTCGCCACTCGATGGGATTGGCACTCTACCCAGCCAGCCAGCCAGCATTTTGCTCACAATTGCGATTTCTGGAGTCGGGCCTTGGAGGTGTGAGAGAGCAAGCAGGTTGAGGGGGCTCACCTACTCCGTTGCTCTCCCACCTGCACGCTTGGCTGCTTCGCACGATGTGCTTCAGGGAGTTGAGGCAAGCTGTTTACATTCCATGGGAGAAGAACATGAGTGCT